CTGTACCTTTCCTGTGATACAGTAATGCCGCACTAGAAGTAGTGTTATCATTCTTCTATCTCCTATCAAGTGAGATCACATTGTACGATGTATTTCTAATAAATGTTTCACATGAAACACTTACTGTATATACTTTTCTCACCAAACTGTGATAACTGTGATTAAATTCAGTGTAAACAAATGCCATATGTTGCCACCCCTCAAAAATTCCTGCCCCCCTCTCGCCACCCCATAAATATTTTTCTAGATCCGCCCCTGGACAGAGATAAGCCATAGCAGTGCTAAGCTAGCGCTAGCCTAGGCTGGCTACTCGTTACTATCAGAAATAAAACCGTGTGAAACTGACAAGTGCTCAGTAGAAAAGTGCAGCAGAAGGCGCTAAGTTTTATAGTAGTTCTGGTCAGTTAGAGTTACTGAGATACAGAGATGTCACAGAAAAAGAATATTTTCAGACAGAGATAGCCTAACAACAATGCAGCTCAGCCATCAAAACAGGAAGAGAACATGATACGTCTTACAAACAGCAACAATAGCACCTGTTTTACTCTAAAACAGAAGCAAACTCACATACAAATATACAGTGCCTTGCAAAAATATTCAGCCTCATGAACCTTTTTAAACTTTTACTGCATTTTAGGATTCAGACATAAATATATAAAATTTTTATTGTTTGTGAAAAATCAAGAACATCATGAAGTGCAACAAAATTTATTGGATATTTTTTCACTTTTTTAACAAATAGAAAACTGAGTGGGGTCTGCAAAATGAATCTTACTTTCAGTGCAGAAAACTCTGCACTGAAAGTGAATAACTGTTATTCTGATACTTTAAGATGTTTATTGCCCTCCCCGGTAGGGGTGGTAAATATATTATTTGATCAGTAATTATTTCAGCTGTTATATACTGTTTATGAACACACGCTCTGCTAGCTGTGTGTTAGAACAATAGATGAAAGAGTGATTCGAGCTCTAATCATGGTCAAACAGTTATTTCTGCACATGGAATAAATTCACCACAACTTCCTCTTTGGGCCTGTTCACTTCCTGTTTGGATTAACTGGGTGTTGTTGCTGTCCAGATGATCTCGATCTGAAGTTAAGTTCTCCATCCATCCATCCATCTTCCTCCGCTTATCCGGGGTCGGGTCGCGGGGGCAGCAGCCTAAGAAGGGAGGCCCAGACTTCCCTCTCCCCAGCCACTTCTTCTAGCCCCTCAAGAGGAACCCCAAGGCGTTCCCAGGCCAGCCGAGAAACATAGTCTCTCCAGCGTGTTCTGGGCTTCCCCAGGGGGCCTCTTCCCGGTGGGACGTGCCCCGAACACCTCACCAGGGAGGCGTCCAGGAGGCATCTTAACCAGATGCCCGATCCATCTCAACTGGCTCCTCTAGAC